TTTCATTATATTACAATTTTTGAACCATTAATTGTTGAAATAAATAGATAATTTCAAATAAATTAGTTAATTTTTCATAACAAATTCTGTGAAAACGCATTCCCATTCAGAAATTTCGAGAATCGATGTCCCTTAGCTTTATTATTACTGGTCAGACAAATCATCATTCCTCCTCGCTGATATTGGTATAATCCAGCAAAGGACTACTTTGTCGGCGCTCCTCACACTTCTGCGTGCATTCAACGTGGAAACTAATCTTTTGGAACTCCTCGAAAAATGTGATTCCAAAGAGACCAAAACAAAGCGCTGCAATCCACTCGCTGATATTACTGAGCACGTGCACGCTGTAGCCTGGATCCGAGGGTTGCCAGTTGGCCACGACGTGTTCGGACTGCTGGCGAAATTCTTCGTACGCAAATATCTCTGCTAAGAAGAAGATCGAACCAAAAACTGTGATGATGCAGGAGAGGATGAAGCGGATCGTGAAAAGGAATTGGGTGTTAATTCCTATCTGGGACAGCTTGTAAGTGAGACATGTCTGAATCCAGCAATAAACTGCCCCACCGGCAAACAACAGAACTGCACCGGTGTCGTGAACGTAAATCATTGAGTCCTCCTATTAATTAAAGAGCAGAGGTTTTTAGTCGAACTCTAAATAGTTCTTCAAAGTGCAGATGACGTACGCTATCCACCCACGGATAGATCACTATCCAGCGGATAACTGATAGCAAACTGAATATACTGCACTATCCACCGGAGAGAGATTTATCTAGTGCATAGCGTTATCGATCCTTCGAACAAGCGAGGCATGAGAGACAAAACAAGAAGAGATACATAATTCCTTCGTCTAGAAACATTGTCAAGGATTTATCGGGGGTCTGTCATCAAACCTATTTCTTCTTGGGGCGGGAAGTGAAAGGAACGGTAACCAATTTTACGCCAGTGGACTCGCCACCTGTTTGGCAAGCAAGGTCTGAAGGAAGTATAAAGTATGACATAAAAA